TCCATCCATCCATCCATCCATCCATCCATCATCTTTACCCGCTTCTTCTTTTTCGGGTCACGGGGGTCGCTGGTGCCCATGTCCAGCAGTCACTGTGTGAGAGTCAGGGGACACCCTGGACAGGTCTCCAGTCCATCACAGGGACACAGAGACAAACAACCATTCACTCTCACTCACACCTAGGGATAATTTAGAGTTAACAATCAGCTTAACATGCATGTTGTTCTGGTCTGTAGGAAACCGGAGTATTCGGGGAAAGACCACACATTCATTCAGTCTTTATTTAGCATGCACAGAGAGAACATGCAAGCTCCACCCAGAATGGTTCCCAGGCTGGGATTTGATGCGATGACTTGCCCGCTGAGAGGCATCAACTCCATCAACTGCAGCACCGTGCCGCCCTAAATCATAATCATGAGATGCTAAATCCTAATTTGAAATAGTATCTGGTAATTTATGCCTAATCAGGAAATGGGCTTCCACTGAAATATGAGGCTTGGCACCATCATTTTCTTTTCATCAAGCGATTAGTAAATTGAAAAAAAAAAGAAAAAAGATCCTTCAATTATTTTAAAATGTAGTGCACCTGTGACAAAATATACAAAATGTAGACCACCACTTTATGAGGCGACTGATGATTCCAGGTTAGTCCAGCAGGTGGCAGCATTTCACCAGAAAGCTTTTAATCACCTAAAACTTGGGAGACTTTTTTAATTTTTTTTTTTTTTTACATCAAACATGCACAAAAGGTGCAAGTTGTCCATTACTGATTATTCGCAGATTGAAAATGCACATTCAGATGTAAATTCAATTAAATTTTATTTGTCTATGAGAAGTCAGGCCACTATAATGAAAACACATTTAATTTTAACATATTCTAAACATTTATATCTTTGAAAACTAATTGTAAAACATGCTACATGCTTTTGTTAAATGCACAAATATATATATATATTTTTCTTTTTACTGAATTATTTTTCAAATGCAGTGAGAGTTTGTCATAAAGTGAATAAAAACAATTCAACAATAATAATTTGGTCCTTTCTCAGCCTTCCATCAAAACAATCCCTCGTCAGTAACAAACATCTTAAAGTCGGCAAATAAAACTTTCCTCCCCTCACCTCAAATATAACCTGAAGTACAACGATGAATAAAACATTAAGTTACTGCATCATACGGTGATACAGGCATTTTAGTGTGAATATGGAGACATCACCAGAGTTGACCATCAAATTTTACAGCTTTGCTTGAAAAAAAAACAACAAAAAAAGACAGAACAAAGATGCACAGGAGCAAACATGCAAAATAAGAAAACAGCATTCTCTGGTTGCAAAGTGCAATTTCATTTTTAGCATACAAACATTCTAGCTTAAAAAAAGTAATGAAGAAATAAAAGCAAAAACACCTGTTTTCTTTTTAAACCTGATATCAAACAGGATGTTTCTTAGTGAGGAAGAAGCTTTGGTAACAGACCTAACAAAACAAATGAAACAACTTCAGTTGGATTTTAGCGTCATCGTTTGAACATATAGAAACGATTATTCTTCATCTGCACTCTTTCACCTTTAGAAACCCCGTGCACGTTGTGCTGTTGTCAGGTCACTGAGCGCATTCTGTAGAGACTGATGGTCTGGTCCTTTTGGCAGCAGATTTCTCCACAGTAAAAGTGTAATTGTACTGAAAATAAAAAGTAAAATCAGCATGCAACTTGAGGTGACGCGTTTCAAACCGAGGCACAGATTCAACCCTACCTCATTTTCAATGTCCATATGAGACTTTATCTGGATGTTATTTAGCTGAGAGTTCAACTGCAGAGACTGAACAGAAACAACACAGTTAGAGAGGAGCACGGATAAAAAGATGACAGTTTGTAGAATAAAACAAAATGATCGTACCATCTCATTTGCCTGGAAATCGTAATCTGGGTGCAGGCTGAAGGGAACTCCATCTAAAGCTGAAGAAAGACAAGTCAGTAATGTTTGTGTACGACTTTTTTCTCCAGACGTTAACTACTTTTTCTTAATTCAACAAAAACAGTTTTGCAGGATTAAAATCTGTACAGTAGTCCCTCGATACTCCGCGGTTCCTTTTTTCACAGACTCGCTCTATCACGGTTTTTCAAAGTAAGATTAGACATGACACACAAATGGCTGATTGATGGATGAGCCGCACGATCGGCATGTAATTTTTATTTAAAATAAATTATTTAGCACCTGCTGCACCTGTGTGCAGCCCACAGCTGCAGGAGAAGCTTCCTCCTCCAGTGTGTCAGATCTCCACTCTGCAGCTGAGAAGTGGGCGTGGCCGAGAGCAATGGCAGAGATTATGACATTCTGTGCTCTTTTAGAGCGTTTAGAAAATTGTTAGGGACATTGCAAGAGTGTGCGAAGGGTTTAAAATGCCCAGGCCTCTCTTCCAAAAGAGATCTGCGATGTCAATGGGATTTGCCTGGTTAAATAAAGACTGATAAATAAATATATACCTGTATATAAATATTAAAATAAACTACTACTACTTGTGTACATAATTCGTTTCATCTCATGTACCACATGAGATGGAACTACTGCATCCCTACTTCGCAGTTTTTCACTTATCGTGGAGGGGGCGTGGCCCCAAACGCCAGCGATAAATGAGGGACTACTGTAATGTTAACGTCACTTTCAATATTTCAAGTGGAGTCGCATTAAACAGACTGAACACAAGGTTGAGGGTGGCTCTTAAATTAATGAAATTACAACTCTGCTTAAACTTCCTTATTTTACTTGATGCAACACGTCAGCATTCTTCTAGACAAACAAACAAAACAAAGTAATAAAAACTGACCACTTGTTCAATGTTTCTGGTTGACTTGAGTTCAGAGTGAACTTACTGACGTAATTTAAAGATCTTTCTAAAGTTGATAACAAATATGCTTGGTCTTATTAAACATTTGGACCAATTTAGTGTTGGTAAGTTTTACATCATCACAATGTACCTGACACGATACTAAGAACTAAGTTGTGTACTGCAGTAAGTAGAAGAGTACTACACGTCAACGACAGTGGTGAGGCACTCATCACTGAGAAGAGAACAAAACTTGAAAAGCTTGCATTACACTTCCATCAATGTTTTGGCCCCCAGGCCCTCCAGTCAGATGGTTGATGGTGCAATCGCTGACTTCCAATATCAGTTCATTGAAGAATCTTTGGAAAAGGCTAACGAATGCCATGCTACTCACTGGTAAAGCTTTTAATGTACAGTGGTCCCTCGATACTTCGTGGTTTGATTTTTTGGACGCACTCCTTCGCGGGTTTTCAATATAAGACTGTACACGAAATGTGATTGGCGATAGGGAACGACAGACCCCACCCCCCGCCTTTCTCTTTCTGAAGCTGTCTGTCTGCTCTGACGGACAACCTCAGAAAGAGAAAAGAGAGGGCGGGGTGGGTTTTGTCTTTCCCCATTGCTACTGCTCAGTGAGCAGAGAGAGAGAGAATGGCTGAGTGCGGCTCACTCATGTATAAGACAGACCTCCGCCCCTCCTTTCTCTTTCTGAGGCTGTCTGTCTGCTCTGCTGTGACAGACAGCCTCAGAAAGAGAAAGGAGGGGCAGGAGGTGGGGTCTGTCTTTCCCCATAGCTACTGCTCAGGAAGCAGAGAGAGAGTGCGGCTCACTCAGGTACAAGACAGACCTCGCCCCCTCCTTTCTCTTTCTGAGGCAGCAGACAGAGTAGAGATGCACAACAGGCAGCCTCAGAAAAAGAAAGGAGGGGGCGGAGGGTCTGTTTTATACCAGAGTGAGTCGCACGAGCAGCATGGATTGTTTATTTAAAATAATCAAGCACGACCCGAACCAAGCCCTTCTCTCTTTTGCTGTGCTCTTTTAGAGAGTTTAGAACATTAAGAACATTGCAAGAGTGTGGGAAGGGTTTATAAAGCCTTCAAAACAAATAAATACTAAAATAAATATAACGTCCCTACTTTGTGGATTTTCACTTATCGCAGGGGAGTGTGGAACGTAACCCTGCGATAAGTGAGGGATTATTTTAGAATGTCAAGCTCTTTAGATGTAAACCAAGACTATAAAAGTATTATTTAAAGAGTACATATATTAGCCCACATACCATGGACCACCTTTACAACTCAAGGTATAAATGATGGAGTCTGTAACAAACATTACCACACAAGTAGCTTTTTGTACGACTATGGAAATGCTGCTACATTCAGGTGGATAAGCAAATAATGTCTGAAAAGTTGTTGTTGACTGAATGAAATGTGACAATATATTTTCTGTTGTCACCTGTAATGCCATGAAGGCTGCAGTCAGACTTGTCCAGGTTGTCTGTGGGATGCAGGCTGTGTCGTCTCTGACTCAGCCTGCCTTGAGGCTGGGCAGGAGGTGGCAGGTTGCTGAGGAGGCAAAGAAGAAGACGGTAAAGCCAAGCAGCAACATCTGCAGAGGTCGGATTCTTGTAACAGAGAATTACATGCAAGACCTGAGTCTGAGGGGAAGGAGAGGAGTTGGTTGATCCAAAGAGAGGCTGCGAATGTCCAGGCTGAACTTGCGAGGCTTTGGTTGGGGTACCGGGCTGGAGAAGTGTCCCCTTTTACACCACAGAACGTAGCCATGGATGTCACTGGAATACAAAACGTATGACAAATTAGATATCATATAATTCAATATTTTCAAAATTGTTATTTATATGGTAATTTATATTAGTTTTTTTTTCCCCAGGGCTTCTTGGATGAATGCATTTCAATAAATGATCATAAATTAAAAATAAATGCCAGTTTTTGCATTGATTCTATCAAACCTGTTTGTGTAGTTTGCCTGTATTGTTACCAGTCGTTGTGTTTTTAACGTTAAAAGTATTTTGTAGTGACAAGAAAGTCCATCAAGTTATATGTTCAAACATAACAATCAGTGTGATATTCACAAGTCAAAATGTGATTACAGTCATAAAACTCCTTAAAGTTGACACTAAAATAATGTTTTTGGTCTATAATAATAGTTATAGTCATAAAGGGGATATTAAATAAAAATAGCACAGACAGTTTATTGTGCAGCATAAAATAAACTTAAAAATTGCAATTAATAGTTGCCAGACTGGAAGACTTCATCCTTAAAATGACCATTTTCCTCAAAGAAATGATATTTTAAAGGTTTCAGCTCATTTGGTAATTTAAAACAATTTCTTTTCAAAATGTTATTTATTGAATTGCATTAGTCACAGTAGTCACTTCAAAACAAACAAGACTTCGCACATACAAATAACCAAAACCTTGTTTATTAGCTCTAATCCAGTTTAGAATTGAAACAAACTACAAACATGAAAAAAACAACGTTTTGAAGGTTAAACAAAGACACACCTTTGCATTAATTCTGGGCGTACAAATAAATGTAAATGGACTGTACTTATATAGCACCTTTCTATCTTATCAAGACACTCTTTACGATACAATCTGTGCCTCATTTACACATTCACACAGCACTCTACTAGATCTATACAAAGATCAGAGCTTTATCACATTCATACACATCAGAGGCAATGATGGGTTCAGTGTCTTGCCCAGGGACACTTCAGCATGTGACTGCTGGTGGACTCAAACCCCCAACTCTTGCATTGGAGGGCGACTGATCCAACCACTCAGCCACAGCTGTCCCAAAAAGGTACAAAATTATTTGGTCTTTATTTTACTCTTCCACGTCAAATCAATTAGTTTTTTTTATACTTTCACAAGAAAAAAAAAAATCATGACTGCAAGCGATTTATTTTCCCCCCAGTTAAACCATAATATTGTACGACTCGACGTCTGAAACAAAAGTGATGGCAGTAACACTGTTTAGTTTTATAAAACAAAAAGTCTACAAACTAATAATAAAAAATGAAATAAGACATTTATAATCAAGTTTTTTGCAATACTGTCTAATAATAATTTTTCATACCATCAGGTGCACTTTCAACACACACTAAAATATACGTTTACACCATTTAAAAACTAAATATTGATAAAATCGTCATTTCAAATGCTGAAAGCATTATAGTCCAGAAGCGAGAATTATAAGAGCTCTCAGTCGTGTCAACATTCAGATTCACATTTTGTATCCCAGCTCATTCCATAAATTCACACTCACAAATGCATTTATGTAATTTTTGCATTAATGTTTAATTAAATCTGCATTAAGCAGCGAGTTTACCGGACAGAGTGACTCAAACAGGCTGTGCACGCTCCCATGGCAGCGTCCTCTCTGCTACTGGGAGTTTGGTCGTGTGCGCAAGTCGGACGTGTCTTTGCTAATGATGTTAGTCCGAATGCATTAACGTTTAATGCAAAGTTAAATTTTAGATACAAATGTCCCGGGGACGTCGGGGCACGTGGGAGGAGTGGGTAATGATGGGAAATGGAAACATGTGGCGTCTCCTCTGTCGCACAGAAATAGTCATGTGCGACCATGTATGGATGTTTATTAATTTTTTATATTCAATTATCTTTATGGCAGGTTGTCCTCCTTGGATAATAGTAGGGGAAACGCTGATAATATTAGTTTTAATACAAGTTTAAGATAAATGACTGTAGACGTGAATACTACTAACCCCACATAGGTGTAATGCTGCAGCATCATTTTGCTTTTAGCTGTGAGTTTGATGTCCAACACAGCCGTGTCCACCTGGCTCACTGGCAGGAGGCGGATACAGACCCGTTTTTTCTTCGAAACAGAAGTCTCTAGACAAAAAAAACAAAAAGCGCAGAAACTGTCCATCAATCAAACCTCCAAACAAATCAGTAAAAACAAAAAAAAGTATGTCAGTACTGAGGAAAATCTGTGAACGTGTGCGCACTTGGTTCAAGGTGCTCTTCTATACAAACGTATCCATGAGGAAGAGCCTCCTTGTCTGAAATAATCTGAATGTCAGACACCACCTTGCCATTTGTTAAGTCCTAAGAAGAAGAAAACAGTTCATCTATGCAGCAAAAGAGACCAACATCACTCCCAGGTACCGCGGTAATGCAAAGGTTATTAAACGTATTAAGCGCTGGACGTGTCTGTGCGTTACCTTGCTGTAGCAGAGGTAATATCCAGATTTAATCGCAAAGCTGCGTGTGAAATTTGCTGCTGCGCCGTCTTCTGTGATGCTGATCTGCAGAGAGATGAAGGAAAAGGCTACAGCGGACAAATCAACGGTGTTAATGTGTCTGAATTCAGAATAGCTAAAGGTAATTATTTATATAATATGTATGTTCTGGGAAGAAGCAAGTCTTGTGACACCAAAAACACACTATAGTGTCTGTTTGTGACGCAGTTTGTTGAAAAATTACAGTTTGAGTTAGTTTTGTTCATGTGGTCAGTGTTTTGGCCAAAATGTTTCAGATCTATTGACTTGTTTGATATAATTAAGCATTTTAACCCCCTTTTTTTCTAATCTGGAGCAAGCAATGGATTAATAACTACACCTAAAGCCCCACACGTCACATGTTGTTTGTGAATAAAAAAAAAAAAACACATCTTGTCTTGATGTCTGCAGGATTAAACTGAAATTATGAAGCAGATTAAAACTGGTGTGTCTAGTTGTGTTCCTACCAGGGTGAAATTATTAGGACAGGTGCCAGTGTTGGAGGTCCAGGCTACTGCTGTCATGGGCCGGACGGTCCCATGCTCTATTAAGGACATTCTAGGGAAAAAACAGAAAAATACAAAATAATTAAAAACATTTCCATCTGATTGATGTTTATGACCTATTAACATTTACTGCGATCTTTTAGCAGCAACTTTTCACACACACAAAAACATTTTTTTTTATACATTTTTAATAGAAATGTAATGCTGGATCAACTTATTTTTCAAAGTAAATTAGAGCAGTGGTTTTCAAAGTGGGGTCCCCGGACCCCTTGGAGGTCCGTAAAAAATTTATATTTTTTAACAAGCATGTAGATGTTTAACAACCCTTTAAGATACACCAAAATGCAGGAAATCACATCTGCTTTATTACTTTATTAAGCCGTGTTACTTGGTATGACTACTGCTTTTATGATTCTGTTCAGTTTTATGTAATAATTTGAAGACGCGGCAATAATGTACATTTATGCTCATTATGTGAGAAGGTGAAGTTTATAAGTGGTTTTTGATGCTGTTAATTTTCTCAAAAATGTCATTTTTGGAAGTTGGAAAAAAGAAAATGTGTTCATTGTGTCTTGAATGAAAAATACCCCATGTTTAAAAGTATAAAAATTGTATTAAAGCTATTAAAGAACAGGTCTTAAGTATTTATGTTGCAAAAATATTTCCATCGCATTAAAGAGACAAATTGAAGACAATTATTTAATAAACATGAGGGTTATGAGGGGGTCCCTGAACACAAAAAGTTTGAGAACCTCTGAATTAGAATATGATAGTTAGGACTGTCGCAATAAATCAATTAATCGCATGATAAATGAAAATTATCAACCTTATTTTCATTTATCGGCTTTATCGTTTCTTCGTGTCTCTCTTTCCACTGAAGACACTGGACGACAAAATGTTCAACTCCGGTGCTCTTCACTGACCCCTCCCTTTAAAATCCATTTTAACCGTCCAAAATCGCGTTTTTGGATCGTTAAAAACAGCTAAGCAGAGAAGCTAAGCTACGAGCTAAGCTAACAGGCCGACCTCAGGAAAAAACATTCGTCTCGTCGAAGCTCCAAAACTCACGGTTGAACGTGAAACCTTTGCCTTCGTGTAAAAATGTGTTTTTCTCTGCAAAAAGAAGCTGAGAATTTGTTCACTGATTTTTTTTAATTAAAAGCTTCGTGTGAAAAATGCTATGCTAAAGAGCTCAAATCACACAGAGAGTCCGCCATTTTGAGAACGGAAAAACAGGAACGAGAGACAGCCCGTCACCTGAAGGGGTCTTCCTCCCATTTTTCTTAAAAATTCACGCTTATCGCTCCCTCACTATCCATCCTTCAGTCCAGTCTTATATTGCCATCCGGTGGTCAAAAACGGTACTACACTCAAAATACATGAACATTTCTTCTTAAATTTGACAATAATTACTAATTATTGTCAAATTTCAAACAATGTTATCGTTTATTGCAATAATTTCTGAGACGATTAATCGCCCAGCAAAATCTGTTATCGTGACAGGCCTAATGATAGTCCTTGTTTTGCTAGTCCAGTAGTTAACCCCTTCCTTTATCTATCTACTTGTACAACTCAAGCAAAACATATGCAAATAAGATACAATGCTTTGACTCAGCCCGAACTCTTAAAATGACAAGCATCTCATGAATCAGTATGTAACTTTCTCGTGATCAGGTTTTTAATTAATCAACTGTTCATATTTTGTGTGCGAGTCTGTAGAAGAAAATGTACGTTCTTACGTGTTGGCACTGGGAGAACTGGCTTGTTGTTTCACGTGATAAGCAAACTGAGGTCTATAATAACTAGAAAATTCTTGTAATCCTTAGACTCCATTGTTCAAGACAATCAGATCTTATTCAGCAGAAATAACTGTGTTCTGATTAAATAATTTAGGACAGACTGAAACCATTTAGAGCAAGAATTCAGGAGCGGTGCCGTTTTAGACATTTCAACTTTCTGTACGGTGAAAATGAATAAATGCCTCTTTATTCCTATAAAATCCCAACAAAGATGTTAACGTCCCATTCTTCCTCGAGTTTTAGGTTGGAAGTTATCTTGTTTCTAAACATAGTCTGGTAAAAAAAAAAGGTAAATCAAGGCAGTAAAAAGTGACACATAAAGATAATTTGATGCATTAATTGGTTCCTACAAACATAATATAAAAGATCTTACTTATGTGGTTCACAATAAAACACTTTAATTCAATTTTTTTGGTTGAACTGAGTGTTCTTTTATTGCCGAGCCTCAAAGCAAGAAGAAATTATTTTAATGTATCTCAACCTATTTTCATTTCCAAGATCTGTGTCCTCCTTTTACTTATAATAAAAAGAACATCTTGAAAATCACTGAAATTATAAACCATGGTGAGGAATATTACAAACATGACACATCGTCATTTTTTTTTTTACATCAACTTTATCTCACTTTTAAATGCATTAAAAACACCCATATACCTCATTACAAACGTATATTCCACTTCTGACTGTCATATAAAAGACGAATTTGTATAACTTTAAAAAAAGGTTTAATCCCAAACCGAGCTGTTTTCTTCACCTCCCTAACCAACAGTTGACAAAACTCGCTGTTTCTTGATGAAACAAGCTAATATGCTAAATTGTTTCGATCTGTAAATTATATAAATGACAAAAACACAAACTTACTCTGGGTCTGTATTTACTTTTTGGGTTCCGAATCGGTCGTTATTCGAAGGATGATCAACTTCTCAGCTGCTAGCCAAAATATCCTTCTCGTACTTCTTTGAAACAGGAAGTAATTAAACCATTCCAACTACAATTCCCATCGAACCCTTCGGCTGCGGCAGTACGTCCAGAGTGCGTCGTGCTATGAGCTAGCGTCTGATATGAACACAAGATGGCGACAGTGGTATGAGAATACTGTACAGTAACGTCAAATATTCGGAATATACAGTACTGGATATATAAATATTTTGGAATAGTGAAGTCCAGGAAGTTGTTCAGAGAAAGAGGTTAGCCAAGAAGAAATATAACAGTGAGAGGACTGAAGAGAGCAGACAGGAATGGAGATGCAATGTAGAGCAAAGGGATATAGCAAAGGCAAAGCAGAAGGTGCATGATAATGCAGGATATCCTTGTAAAAGAGATTAATAATCCCAATGGATTTATTTCCTGGTAAAATAAAGATAAAAAAAAAGAATTGTATGGTCGACTGGACACTAAAAAGGGCAAGAAGGATGTGTAACGATTAGCAAGACATAGTGATCAGGCTGGAAAGAATGTGCAGCAGGTTAGGCTTGTTAAAAATCGAAATGGTAATGTTCTAACATGTGAGGAGAGTGTGATGGGAAGATAGAAGGGGTACTTTGAGGAACTAAGGAATGAAGAGCATGACAGGGAAAGAAGAGTAGAGATCATAGAAGCTGTGGATCAGGAAAGGTCAAGGTTCTTGTTATTTGTCATTCACATTGCATGTGGTACATGAGGTGGAAGGCAATTGTGTACACAGGGTCCCAATTACATCCAACAAAAGTATAAATTGTAAAAGAAAAACAGTAATAAGATCTAAGATATGAACTAAGAAATATGCTAAACTAAGAATACACTAAACGCTATTAGTACAAAAACAATATGCCAAACAACAGCAGCACAAACGAGTCTGTGAATAGATGAGTACGAATGAACACAGCGGCATGAAATAAACCAGCAGCAGATCAGCAGAATGGACAATCAACAGCACATATCAACAATCAAAGTGGCATTACAGTGATTTTTTTATTTTTTCACAGTGATAATCCTGATTAGTCTTAGTTAGTCTAACTGTGGGAAAGTGGGAAAGATTAGCGAGGGTGAAGTTTGGAAAACTCTGAAAATAATGAAGAGGGAAGACAGTAGTACCTGACCAGTAGAGGTTTGGAAAGGTCTACGAGAGATGGCAGTGAGGTTTTTGAGTCAAATATTCAATGCTATATTTGAGGTTGAAAAAATGCCTGAGGAATGGAGAAGTATGATGGTGGCCATAAGAACAAGGGTGATGTACATAGTTGTAGCACCTACAGGGAAATTAAGTTGATGAACCACACGGTCTGGGAGAGTTATGGAAGCTAGACTTAGACAAGAGGCGACTGTGAGCAGCAGTATGATTTCATGCCGAGAAAGAGCACCACAGATGCCATCTTTGCTTTGAGGATGCTGATGGAGAAGTACAGAGAAGGTCAGAAAGAACTCCACTGTGTCTTTGTGGATTTAGAAAAAGAATATGGCAGGGTGCCGAAGGGGGAGTTGTGGTATTGCATGAGGAAATCTAGAGTGGCAGAGAAGTATGTTAGACTGGTACAAGACATGTATGAAGACAGGACAGCGGTGAGATGTGATGTAGGAGTGACAGATAACTTTGAGGTGGAGATGGGAATGCATCAAGGATCGTCTCTAAGCCCCTTCTTGTTTGCTCTGGTGATGGACCGATTAACAGATGAGGTCAAGCAGGAATCCCCGTGGACTATGATGATTGCAGATGACATTGTGATCTGTGGTGAGAACAGGCCAATAGGAACAGGTGGAAGAGATTTTAGAAAGGTAGAGGTATATGAAAGAAGAGGAATGAAAGTCAGCCGTGGTAAGACAGAGTACATATGTGTGAATTCGAGGGAAGCAGGTGGAACAGTGAGACTCCAAGGAGCAGTGGTCACAAAGCTGCAGGACTTCAAGTACTTAGAGTCAATTGTCCAAGAAAATGGGGGATGTGGTAAAGAGGTGAAAAGAGAGTCCAGGCAGGATGGAGCAAAGTTTCAGGAATGATTTATGACAAAAGGGTGTCAGCAAATGTCAAAGGAAACGTTTACAAAACAGTGATGAGACCAGCTATGTTGCATGATCCAGAGACAGAGACATGGACAAAAAGACAGGAGACAGAACTGGAAGTGGTGGAAATGACGATGTTGAGGTTCTCCTTAGGAGTGACAAGGATGGATAAGATGAGATCAGAGGTACAGCACAGGTTGAACAACTGGGAGATAATGTTAGAGAGGCCAGACTGAGATGGTTTGGACATGTCCAGAAGAGGGACAGTGGTTTGGACATGTCCAGAGGAGGGACAGTGGGTATATTGATAGAAGGATATTTGGCATATAGCTGCTAGGACAAAGACAAAGAGCAAGGCCAAAGAGAAGATATATGGATGCAGTTAGAGAGGACATGGAGGTTGTTGGAGTGAGGACAGAGTGAGATGGAGGCGGATGACTTGCTATAGTGACCCCTGAAGAGGGAAAAGCCAAAAGAAAAAACAAAACATAACATAAACATTTTTGTTTTCACACCGTTATTTATACATGTTTTACAGTCACACGAATACAACGAGGTAAATAATTTTGAGCTCCGTTCAAGGCAACTCGCATGGCAATAAGGCACAAAAAAAGAAATGAATGACTAGCTTAAAAAGAACCCAGAAGTGTAACTTCCCTTCATACGTGACAGCCACATGCAGACAATATTTGAGTTTAGGTTCAGGACAGTCAAAGGGTCGAAGTTTGAAACTGATAAGAAACATAGAAAGCCTGAAAGAGACTGAGCACATCAGACACCGACTGTTCATCATGGATTTATCTCCTAGGGCTCTGATCCTGTGCTTCCTAACATGTTCAGGTAATAACTGATTTAATTTAAACAACAAAATAACTTCTTATAATGCTGCTCATTCTAACACTGACTCCACTCATAGATCTCTTAGTTTGAGGTATTAAAATTGGGAACTAAACTTTATCAATTGCACCACAAAGTCAAATTAAAACAATTTAAAGATGATTTTCAGAACAAAAACAACATTTAAATATAATTTTTGATACCATTTTTGGGACATAATTGTAAAAAAAAACCAAAATCAGTTTAGTAAATTAATGAAAACTATTAACTGTAAGTATTTTCATTATGCTTTTATTTAATTATCCTATTAGCACAACTGCAAACTTCTGCTTCTGTCAATTTGAGGATCTCTAACTAAATACGTGGCACTCACTGCACTTTACCTAAGAATTAGCCATAAATTATAATAGAAAACACAAGGACCTTGTTGAGTTAAAAGCATTTCCTTATACATATTATGCTTTTATGTTTTTGTCATAAATTTGTAGAACATAGGTCAAGAACAATTTAATTTAGTTATATAATAAAATATTAAGATAATGCACTATCCTTGTTCATTTTTATTATAAGAAATTGATTTCCTCTAAAATGTTTTTCATATTTTATCCCTGTCGTGCAGCACATCGGCTCAGTCTGTTGTCGGTTTGTTTTGAGAAAACATTTGTCTGCACTGCATTTCATCCAGATCTCTGTAAAGGTTCACACAGTTGACCTGTACGTGTGCACGTCCTCTCATGTGTGTCTGCGCAGTGGCTGCTGACACTCCGGTTGTCTCCGTGGAGCCTCGGTCTGCTGCTGTGCGCCAAGGAGAGTCCGTCAGCTTCAGGTGCCAAGCGAGGAGCAACGTGCAACCAGTGCAGCTGGAATGGAAGAAAGCCAATAACCAACCATTCCTGGGTTAGGAGTAATGATCCCTGTTCATATATAATGTAGCTGATGTATGTGTGTTCACTGGAGTGTCTTGTTTCTTTCCAGACAATGTAAAGATCGGTCCTGATGGGACTGTGCTGACGGTTGCCAACGCTCGACTTGGAAATCAGGGTCAGTTTCGCTGCGTGGCCATCAGCTCTGCTGGTCGCAGCTTTGCCAACGCTGCGCTCACCGTTAAACGTGAGTGTTGCCGTCACGTTTTCTCCAGCTGGAAGTGAGCAATGACAAAACTCAAAGTTATATGATGAGGGCTTCATTTTCATTGAAAGAAAAAGTATTTAGCCAAATATACCAGCATTGTTGTACTACTGTTTGGGGTCCAGTTTGTTCATCTTTAACTCAGTGAGGAGGGATAAAACAATCATGCAAGTTATTGATAATAAAGTGTCTTCTGCATCTTTGGTGGTTTCATTAGTTGCAACAAGAGACTGATGATTTTCAAACCCATTGTCAATGCCGTAGCAAGTTTAAAACAGTAAATGTACATTATTAACCTTAAATTGGTGGATTTAATGAAAAAGCACATCACTCAAAATGGGACAATGAACATCTACCACTTGCTATAGATATTTATTTGGTAAAATGCTTCAAATTAAATATTTGAATATTTGTGATCTGCCTATATACACATCATTTTATCATTTTGGATGAAAGGGCAGATACAGATTACAGATAAAACAAAAAGCTAAATAAAATTTAAGTTATCATCAGATTCTATTTAAGCTAACATGTTTGCCACAGCACAAATGGTTTATTTGATCAGACTACATGCAAAAAGCCAATCAGCATCAACATCTTGCCTCGTGCTCACATATTCTCATCGTAGAAAGAGCCTTATTATAAAATTTGTGTTATACGTCTCCATTCTGTTCCCAGATGTTCCCAAAGTACAGCTGACGCCAGCAGGGCCCCTGCAGGTCAGAGTGGGTGACCCTGTGTCAGTGGAGTGCAGGGCCACCGGCAGGCCACGCCCCACAGTTGCCTGGCAACGCCAAGGCTCCACCACACAGCTGGTTACCGAGGAGATAAACTTTGTTAACATTCTAAAGGTGAAATTCTTGGAGAAGTTGACTCAGTTTTGACTTTTCGGACAAGCCGAACATATTGTTTGTTTTCCTCAGTGGTCTGCGATACGTCAGGAGGACTCGGGGGAGTATATTTGCCAGGCTGGGAACAACTTGGGAGTGTCAGAAGCCAGAATTGAGATTATTGTGGGGGGGGCTCCTGGAGCACCTGTGGCTTCAGTGAACCTTGAAGAAATTACTGCAGTAGAGGGACAAACAGTTACGATGGAGTGCCAGGCATCTGGTAAGACGCCTGCATGCGTGTGATAAATGCATTTGTCGGCTTGCTTCCACTTCAAGTTAATTACATTCCAGGCTCCCCTCCTCCTGAGATCAGCTGGTCTAAGCTGCGAGCACCACTTCCATGGCAACACACAGTAGATGGTGGCGTTCTGACCCTGACCTCAGTGGGCCGCCAAGACTCAGGACAGTACATCTGCAATGCAACCAACGTCAATGGCTACAGCGAGGCCTACACGCAGATGGAGGTGGAGAGTAAGTAAATTAGAGCTGTCATTTCTAACCTGGGCCTGAAGCCCGACCTGACCTGAATTTGGGCCGGGCTGGGCCATAATAATGTGCTGGATGGGCGGGCCTGGTCGGTGTCGGGCTTTTGATTGCGTCAATGGATCAGCCGTGATCCAATTATGGCATCATAGTTTGCCATACAATCCAATTATATGGCAACATGGCTTGCCATAAATTCATCTGCCACATGCGGCCATTTGACTGCGAGCTGACTGGCCTTGAAAGAGGTAAAATAAAGTTCAGTCAAGCTTCAGATGGAACTACCGGTACTGCCAGGAAGCGATCCATCGCCCAAATGGACGTTCAGCCACTGCACTCAGTGGATGCACACAGCTGGCGATCCAAACAGGTGAGATCCCAAAGCAGACATGTCAAAGCAGGGTCCAAGTCTGAATAATGCAGAAGCAGGGATTTAATGTGCCTTGACGGCCATGAAAGGACAAACACCCCCTCAGCTCCGATCTTCTGCCTCTTTTATTCAGCCGTGCACATCCGCCGACCGTAAACCGTTAAAAGTATTCAAAGCTTAATAAAAAAATGTCAAGGTTTTTCAGGTTTGGACCTGTAATTACTGTTAATTCATCGGGTCGGGTGGGGTTTGGAAATGACGACTAAATTATGACTTTTTTTTAAATTTTTTTTACAGAGATTGAGTTTTGTGTGGTCTTTGCTGAGAGACTTGTCCCCAACACACTTGGAGCACTAACTGATTGAGCAAGATCTGTTTTTAAAACCTTTTATGTGTTTAAAAACAAATGTCTAAATCAGTTTTAATAAACTTTCAGAAAACAGTTATTAGGTGTACATCTACAATGGCCTAGATTTTGGACATAATTCAAGATTCATTCATTCATTCAACCTTTATTTATACAGGTTAATTCTATTGAGCCCCGGGGACTCATTTACAAGAGAGACCTGAATTGATTTGACTTGAAGAGTGATGTAAGGCACATGTGTCAAACTCAAGGCCCGGGGGCTAAATGGTGCCCTCGTTGACATCTTATCTGGCCCCCAAGATGATATGTGAAATGTAAAATACTTCTATCTCTTGAATTTTTTCAGTAATCTTTGATTATGATGTTGAAAGCACAGCAGAGAACATCAAATGAGACCAATCAAACTCTTGTTGAGGAACCTGTGACCAAGAAAAGAGGTTGGGTATCTGATTTGAGTTCATGTAGTTTCTGAAATCGGCCCTTAGTTTGAAAAAGGTTTCAATTTTGTCCTCCTTTGTAAGTGAGTTTGACACCCCTGATCTAAGGAAACACAAAAGTTGCTATAACTCAGTCAGTTATAAAAATACTGAGCTAAAATGTGGTGTGAAAGTAGTCGAACATCACCTCCATGACATGTCTTGGGCTTTACACATAGAGCAACATCTTTCCTTAAAACCTTGGCATTAACCGCTTCAGTCAGTGCAGTCTGTCTTTTAGCAAAATCTATTGATTTTAGTAAAATTCTTAGAAAATTAATTTGTTCATTCAACCTTTATTTAGACAGCTGTCTGTACATTTCCAACTCTAACGTTCGGTGCCAACCAAATGTAAGATAGCTGCAACAGCAAATTAAAATTAGCCAACACAAAGATGTATCTAACGCAGTCAGTTTTACAAAGATAACTTTAGTAGCAGATCGCAGATAGTCCCCATGTGCTCATATCAACACATCTTGCAAGATTTCACAATATCACATGACGTAGCACAGTCATTAACAAGTTTTTCCCAAAATAGGAATAACTGTCCCTTCTTAGCATACTGTAAGATGATTCAGTTCAACAGTGTATAATTATGTGTTTAGGGACAAATTCCCTTTCCACTGTCCATGGCCTTGTGCACATATGGCTCAAACATGTTTTCTGTGTCTCTTCTTACATTTTTTTTTTTTAATTTCCTCACAGCTCCTCCGTATGCCACCTGCCTGCCTGACCAAGTGAGGCTCAAGCCCGGAGGATCTCTGGTCGTGCAGTGTCTCGCCCACGGCTCCCATCCCATCAGCTTCACCTGGACTCGGTTGGGCAGGGTCGGCTTGCCTGCGGCAGCAGTGGCCGCAGCAGATGGAAGGCTGATGATAGCCCGTGTCAAGCAGAACGACAGCGGAACGTACAAATGTGTTGCCACCAACCACATCGGCTCCAGTGAAGCGCAGGCAAAAGTCATTATTAAAGGTGAGCTGGAGAACTAGGGAGTATCAAAGTCAATGATCGGCTCTTTGTTTCTTTTTTCTCTCCAATTGATTTTGTCTTCTTGTTTTTACAGCTTAAAACACGATGATCACGCTGTTTCACACTGGGAAAGATAATCTATGAAGCATATTTCATAAAACAAATATATGTATTCTGATAGACAAAAGTTAAACTTATGTTGACATTCACAAGACATTTCAGTCTTCTGTGCCTTCATGTGATTTGATGCTCTCAGTAAATGTTTACAGCAACTCAGTGACTGATATTTAACTGTATGTACAAGGAAATGCCTACTGGATAAAATGGAGACAAAACTCATTCAATTCAGTTTTATTTATACAGCGTCAAGTCACAACAGAAGTCGTCTCAGGGCACTGAACAGAAACATTCATATAAAAATAAAAAGTTAACATTATTTATCTGAGGAGCAGACTGCTTTTAATTTAACTCCATCACAGAACTCATCTTGAGCAAGCACAAAGGCAATAGTGGAAAGGAAAAACTCCCTCATGAGGAAGAAACCTTTAGCAGAGCCAGGCTCAGGACAAGCGGCCATCTGCTTCGACAGGCTGGGTTTGGTAGGAACAGATACACAATGGCAGGTCAAGAATCACATGTTAAGATAGAAATAGTATCAAATGAAAACTATTCAATTGTAACAACTCATTTAAGGAAATTAGGTCAATTTGTCCTCCAGTAGTCTAAGCCTATGGCAGCATAACAAGCTAATGTAGGATTTATCAAAAAGCAAAGCCTTGAGCCCAGTCTTAAAACTGGACAACGTGTCAGCCTCATGGACAGAAACTGGAAGTTGGTTCCACAAGAGAGGAGCCTGATAACTGAAAGATCTTCCTCCCATTCTGATTTTGGGAACTCTAGGAAGTAAATCTGCAGTCTGAGAGCGAAATGCTCTGTTATGAAAATATGGAACAATAAGATCTGTAACATGCAATGGAGCTAGGTTGTTGAGGGCTTTGTAGGTTAGAAGTAAGATTTTGAATTCTATTCTGAATTTGACAGGGAGCCAATGGAGAGAAGCTAAAACTGAAGAGATATGATCTCTCCTACTAACTCCCATTATTATTATTATTATTATTATTATTATTATTCCCAAAAATGAAAAATAGAGAGCAGGCACGGTGGAGTGAATCAGGATAAGTGTCAGATGATTTGCAAAGGAAGAATGGTGGGTTCATTGGACAAAGAATGTTGAATATGGAGCATAGAGGAGGTTCATGAATGCAGTGGAGGATATTTAAAGAGGTGGAGCGACAGAGGAGGCTGCTGGGACAGAAACTCAGGATCCACTGTTGTGACCCTTAAAGACGGCAGGCAAAAGGAAAAATATATTAAAAACATATCAAGAAAAATAAACGATGTAGTATGAAAAAATCTTTCCTAACATCATTAGAAACTGTAACCAGCAGTTTGTGAATAATCCTCTCACCTTCAAACTTCTGACTGGTTTCACTTCCTTGTAGCTTCTATCAGACAAAACATCAAACTGAGCCTATTACCCGATTTAGCTTTGAAATAACATATTTTGAAAATTTTTCCCCTATTTGTACGTTTTACTGATTAACTAAGCTGATTTCACAATATATGTAGTTTTACTTGCAATGCATTCACTTTGTGTGTTTAGGCACCCACGTGATAGATAGGTTTATATAGAATGACTCAGTGATGGCTGGAAATGCCTTAGTGTCCATTTTCCTTCTATTTCACATTGTTTCATTTTGTCATCAAACTGCTTAACCTTGCTCTAAATCATTACTGTAATTTTTTCCCACACGGTGGCAGCATGCAGCTTGAAGACACAGGCTAAAGAAGCAATCGGAGCTGTCACACTACTAATAAATGAAGGGACAGATGCACTGCACGGACGAGGTTTTAATTTAATGTCTGCACATAGACGTAACATTTACAAACGTCAGAACACGTCTGCTGGTCCCTGCAGCTTTCTGTGTAAATGTTGACGATAGCCGCCTACCGAGCAAAGTTTTGTTTGATCAAACCAATGTGTTGCAACATGCATGCTCCAGTGACTCAGCTGGTAATGTAGCTGTAGCTATATCAGGCTGGAGGTCAACATCTAGGCTTCGAGATCCGAGCAGAAAGCGATCAGTGAGCTGCTGTTTCCAAAACGGCTGCCAGGACCAAGCTTGTACAATGTCCGTTGTGAGAACTTCCTTGGAGTAACAGGATTTATTCACTATCTCCAACTTTACAAGCACTTCAAAAGTGAAAGGAAACATCTGCCCTCTGTCACCTCAGTCCACCCCCTCAGTTCACATACAGAATTAAGGAAGAAGAGATGATGTAAAAAAGGGAAATCCACTTTATTGTTTAATTTTAGAATGATAAATCAGAGAATCTCTGAAAGTGATCCACCGTCTATTTCCGTGTATAAGTTTGTGAACTTGTTAACGCTCTCTGACGGGGCCTCGTGTAACCAAAAGGATAACTTCCTGAAGAAGTATGCACACAATCTTTAAGCCCGTCACACTTTCAGAAACATTACATTCGTCTATGCAACTGTAAATAGCAACATGTTGCTCTTACGGTCAAGAGGTGACGCTGCATTACAACCTCAGTTCTGTAAAAGTTCGGTTGTGTAAAACACGATCTGCAAAGCTCAAAAATCCACATTTTATTTAAATGGGAACATATCAAATGTTAAATGAAGAAATTTATACAATTTTGGGGGGATTTTTAAGTTGGGGGGGGGGGGGGGGCAGAAACAGCTCCAACAAGTTCAGCTAAGAGCGACAAAAAGTTGGAAACGTAGCACAAATACAGGAACACTAGAAGGACAATTACTGAATACATTTTTCACGGTCGGTGGAGGATTTGGACCCAGATTGCAGATTGATACGAGGAATTTCAAAGGTCTAACGTGGCCGCATAACTCGCATGGAACAAGGGATTCTCAGAGACTAAACACAGGGCGACTGTACAAGCCTGGGCCTGTGGCAAGAAGACCGATAATGAACAGAGACTGGAATATATAGGGCAGAGGTTATTGGGGAAAGTGGAGGCACCTGAGTTGATTGGTGACTAAGAACAGGTGAGAGTGGCAGTCTGGAAAAACTGAGGCTGACAGCCAATCAAGGAATAACAGCACAAATGAAGACAGGGGAAAAAAAGGAACATAAGTTAAAATCCAAAATACAGAAAAGAAAACATAATGACCAATAAAAGGGAAATTAAACCTGATCTTAAACACAAAGACAATCAAACAGTAACCCAGCTGTTAACTGGTCAGACTGGGTATTAAATGAGCCTCCAAGAAGTAAAACAGAAAAATTGCATCTAAAAATTGTGGAACATTTTAAAAACGTTTTTCAATAAAAAATTGGGAATACTTTTGACATCCCATCATCTAAAACTCATAATATCAACAAAAGATTTTAAGACTCTGATGATGTCTGTGTGGAAAAGACAAAGCTGAAAGTCGATATTGAATATCTACCATTTTCAGGCCCTCAGGAGACACTGCATAAAAACAGGTCTAATTCTTGTTTGGACATCACTGCATGGAACACATCTACAAATCATTGACTGTAAACACAGCTTTTCACAAATGCTGGTTAAAGCTCTATCATGCAAGAAAAGAAGCCATGAAAAGACCATCCAGAAACATCAACATCTTCTCAGGGCCAAATCTCATTTAAAATAGACTGAAGCAAAGTGGACAAGCTGTATGCCGATGTCCCCCCTCGCTGAAGGATTTGAATTGGTCGTTTTCAAAACAAGCTTTTTTAAAAACACATTTCTGGACTGGACTTTGAACAGGAAATGCAAGTTAACCTTAATGTTTCTGGTGCACGTTCAAGTGGGTAGGAGTTACACTGTGCATACTAGTTGTTTTTTTTTCCTATGTAGCACAGAGTGACCAATCCTGGTGAGTGGAGGGAGCAGTTTTATCCATGATCAGGCACAATGGAGGAGCCATGGGGTGGCCAATGGTGGCCTTAGCCACCATAGATTATTCATGGCCACCCCAATCATTTGAGGAAACTATTACTTTTAAGCGACACAAAAACTAGAGAGCATAGTTTCTTCAGATGATAGGGGTAGTTGGTTTATAAATATATGTATGGTGGTGGTAGCCATCTTGGATTTTGATGTGGCAACACATTTTTTAAGGAAACCTTCTCATGCTAAGATGTAACCACACACCAAATTGGAAATTGGTACCTCACTTATTTTTCATTTTATCATGCTCACAACATGATGGACATTTATGGTGGCAGCCATCTTGAATTTTGCATGGCAATCCAATTTTTGAAAGGAACCTTTGTTAAACCTAAAAGTAGCCACACACCAAAATGCAAGTTGGTACCTCACTTATTTTTCATGATATCGTGCTCAGGACATGCACTGATGGACTGACGAAGAGTATTTCCAATTTTCCCTTTTTACTCCACGACGGGGTACAAAAACAGTTCTGTGGTCAGACAAATCAAAATTAAAAATTATTTTAGAAAACCACAATTACAGCCCGAATGAGAGATCGTCCAGCCTGTTATCAGTTCTCAGTTCAAAAGCCTCTCCTATGGTATGGGGATGCATTAGTGCCTCCAACATGGGCAGTATACACAACTGGAAAGGTATGATCAATGCAAATCAATATAGACAGGCTTTAGCACACTATATGCTCCAATACAACAAAGATGACCAGTGTTGGGAATGTTACTTTTAAAAAGTAATTAATTATAGTTACTAGTTACTTCTCCCAAAAAGTAACTGAGTTAGTAACTGAATTACTCCCCTATAAAAGTAATTAGTTACCAGGGAAAGTAACTAAAGTAACTAATGTTTGTTTGTTTGGTTTAAGTTGAGATATATCTACGAATTTAAAGTAGAATTGCAAAGACAAGTACTTAACACAAAACTTTTAATACTTACTGCACCTCAACAGAACATGACTGGTTGACATACTATACTTCAAGTTTTTTCTTCATTACAAAAATTCAGTTTAACAAAATAACATAACAATTGTGTTTTTAGCTTTATGTACACACTGTACTGTTCAAGTGTTTTCTTAGAAATAAAAGTAAACAGTTAAAATAAGTGTTTTAACTCTGTAGTGTAAAATAAAATCAAACCCTCACACAACTGGTTCTTCAAGTATTTTCTTAAAAACAAAATAACCATTTTAACAATACGAAGTACTTTTAAAACAGTACTGAAAATCTGAATTACCTATCAATCGGTTTAGTTCATTCTGCGTCACAAGTTTCTGTGAAGCTGGAGCAAAAAAATCCACCTTTAACTGCTTGGACGGCGTAGCTCCGCGTTCTTCTTCGTTAGCAGAGCTCACGTTAGCCACACCTGGTCTGCTATCATC